CGCCGAAGTCCCAACGAGTCCGGATTAAAGACTTTTGAGTGTATATTGTTGTTTGTTCAATAAATTCTAAAAATTCTGCCACACTGGTGCTGGCCCTGACCTTATATCATTTCATATTTATTCTCAATACTCGTATTATTAAAGAAAGTAAATTAAAATTAAAAATTCGCATTCTTTCTGCACATTCTAAGTACAAGCAGTTCTTTAGAATAACAGAAATTTTTTAATTGAATGTGAAAATTCTGAACTGAAGAAGAAACTCGTTGATGAAGAAATTGATTTTATAAAGAGAAAATTTTTCTTTAAAGGTATATTATTGAAACATTTATAAATTAAAAGATGAAGCAGAAACTAATGGGATATTGATTTGCTTATTGAAACAAATAACCTTAGAAAAGATGCTAAAAACAAGGAATTGATGTAAGTTATCTAAAATATCTGGAAATTTTTCTGATTAAAAAGATGCATAAACATTTCGTTGTTCCTTGTTGCTAGAAAACTTTTGTATTTCATTAATGTATAATTGTACTAATATTATTTTAGAATCAATATCATAAATTATAACTACTGTAAAATGTTCTTAGTGCTTTTTTAATGGATATTTTTCAGAAGTAAAATTGTAACCATCTAAATTGATTATGATTGAGGTTATATAATTACGCAATTTATTTATTTATTTATTTTATTTATTATTTATTATTATTATTTTTTGTATATAACTGCTCACTCTTAGAAGTTATCGCCTCAACAACCTATTGTCTCTAGTGCTTCAGCTTAAGCAGATCTATACGAAGCCAGTAAATATACAATATTTAATATAAAGTTCAAACTCAAGCAGATCTACACAAAGCCATTTAATATACAATATTCAATATAAAGTTCAAGCTCAAGCAGATCTACACGAAGCCAGTTAATATACAATGTTTAATATAAAGTTCAAATAAAGCTGAAGCATCAGAGACAGTAGATTGTTTTGTATTATTTTAAGTCTCATTAACTGTAAGGAATAAAATTTTATGCTAATTTTTACATTTTTGTGTTGTGTCTTGCATCTACAACATGAAGCTATGATACTAACTGGATCAAAGTGAAGCTAAATTTCAACGCTTATAAACCATACCAGCTTCAGGGGTTCATGTCTATTCTGATCACCAGCTTCTTGGTTTCTAAGCAAACAGCTGTAGTGGCAGGGTTCGTACAGTCCTTAAAAGTCCTTAAATTTTTTGGAATCGATTTTTGGTCCTTAAAAGTCCATAATTTTGGCCAAAATCAGTAGAAGGTCTTAATTTTAATCATCTGAAATTTTTGTCTGTTTTTACGACTTCCATTTTGAGTGTGAATTAGCATTTTGGAGGAATATTTTTGGCGATTCATTGACGTATATGGTTATCTTTTGAATGGGTTCATGGGATAAAATTTGTTTCTATTTCTAATATAAATGATGGATACTCGAGTTTCTAAGCAAGAAGTGAAACATAAACATTTCAAAATTAATTTTTTGTAATAAAGAGCTCTTAAACAATTTTCGCTTTTGGGGATGCTTTTGGAATTCTTTTATTAAATTGTTCTAAATTTGGCGACTTGTCAACATTTTGGCTATTTTGATGTCAGTTCGTATAGAAAATTTTTAATTCCGAAATCTGAGAATTTTTTGACGATTTTTTTAAAACATTATAGCATTAATAAATTTAATTAAAATAATGGTAATGTATTGAAATTTTATTAAAAAAATAACATTAAAGTAAAACATTTTTAATTTTTTGCTGTCATATCATAAAGTTTCATTTTGGCAACTTATTATACAATATTTTGAATCTGAAAAATAAACAAGGTACTATGCTATAAAGCATAATTTATGAAACAGCTCTTAGCAAAAGCAAACTTATCTATGTAATTAATTAAAAATGTCTTTTTAATTTTTTAATAGTAAGCGTAATTGTCTCAGAATATGCATGTTTTCTCTATAAAATTAATTTTACATTTTTTTCCTCCTTTTTTTTTCCAAAATATTTCTGGCCTTTAGCTGTTACAGAATTGGTTGGGATAATTTTTCTTTATTATTTTTGACATTGCAGCTTGGAAAACGTAGAAGGATTTGAAGACAAGGTTTATAGACCTACAATTCTAGAAGATTTGAGAAATTTCTTACTTTTTGGAGAACGTCTGGAAGAGCAATGAAGGCATAATATTTGAATGTTTTATTCCTGATACTGGAATATTTTTCTTAACATATTTATCTTCCCTTTATTTTCTCTGCTTTTCACTAGACGCAAGCATGGAAAATATAAAAAATGTTTCTAATATTATCACTTGGGCAGGCATTATAGAAAGGGATTTTTTATTAGTAAAGAAATTGAAAACTTACAATTTAAAAGATCTATCTAATATGTCTTAATGCATCATATACAGAGCTGGCACTAGGCATTTTCCTATCTGATGCAATCTCTGTGGATCTTGAATTCGACTGCATAGTGCCTCTAAATTCTGCTTCTAATGCCTGCTCTAAATTCTAAAAGTTTTGCCATTTCTAGATTTTGTTGTTTGGTGTGTCACTAAATTCTAAAAATTCTGGCACAACAACTCTGTAACCAGCCTTTACCATATATATTTCATAGTTCTTCTGAATTTCATATTAGTAAAGAAATTAAATTAGTCACTTTTTCTATACCTTCTAAATGCATTTAGTGTTTTATAGGAAAACAGAAATCCTTGATTAAATCCAAAAATTCTAAAATGAAAAGGAAATATGCTGAAGAAAGAAATTGAATACATAAAGAAAATTATTCTTCAAAGATATGTGCTACTGAGCCAGATTAAATTAAAATTAAATTGTATAATTTTTGACCACTAGTTCACATTTTTTTTTAAGTTCGAATTTGACTGTTCTTGTATAATTACGTCACCGTGAGATGTAATTGACTTTGTTAGCATCAGGACATTCCTTTATGCTTGTTCTAAGTTCTTTTTAAATAAGAGGCTTATTTAAATCTTTGTCTAATATTGTAGTTACTTTCAGACAGTGATAATTTGTTTCACGTCTGTCGGGGGTTTTGGACTATTTAACTTTTACCAGATCAAGTAAACCCTTATAGGTAGGTACATTGTGGAGAGGTTGACAAGTTAGGAGATAAAGCACGCAGAAACTGGCGAGAACATTGGTTTGCATATTGAGACATATCTCTAATTATTGTTAGAAAAGATGCTTAAACAGAAGGAAATCGATATACACTAGCCAAAATGTTTGGGAAGGTTTCAAATTAAAATGACGGATAAATATTTTGAGTGTTGTTAAATACATAAATGTTTTATAGCTTTTAATATGCAATTATTCTGATATCGCTTAAGAATCTATGTCATAAATTGCATGTATTTTAAACTGTGAAATTTTATTAGATATTGAATGTAATAGGGCTTTTTTAACAAATATTGTTAAAAAATAAAATTTAATAGTGGCCATGTAAGTCCATGATGACTAAGGTTACCTGTTTATCTAATTTAATTATTTGTAACTAGCTGCTTACCCTTAAAAAATTATCCCCTACGTATTAAAGCGAGTTATTGCCTTTCATTAATACTCACCGTGGTCACAAGATAAAACACAAAAATGTAGAAATTCAACTAAAACGTATTCTTTGCATCTAGTGAGACTTAAAATAGTACAAAACAACTTATCACCTCTAGTACTTTAATGGCTTATTGGAACCTGAAAGTATATTAACTGGGTTACAACCTCTGGAGCTTTACACAAAGCTATGACACTAACTGCATCAAACAGAGCCTGACTAACTTTCAACACTTGAGAACCTACATCAGGACACCGTGCCTACAATCAAGGCGTTTTAGGTTTGTTCTAATGAGAATCAGGTCTCTTTCTCTAGACAGCAGCAGCGGTGATACAGCATTCAATCTTTTGTTATGAATCATGCTAATTATGATCTTACTTCTCATTTTAACCTATGCCGTTTGACATAAAATCTACCTGCTATTTACTAAACTTCTAGACCAGCGGTTCTCAACCTTTTGACTAACGTGTACCATCTAAACAGAAATTGAAAACCTTTAGTACCACCACCACTCTTGAACAAAACTCAGATTGCATAAATTTATGAGTGTTAGAGAAAAAAACTCAATTAAGATTTTGGAGTTTTAATTTTTGAAACAGTTAAAAATACTTTGCTTCTTTGTGTACCACTTATTTTTTTCTTGTGTACCACCAGCTGAGAACCTCTGCTCTAGACTGACCAAGTATGTGACAAAATGACACATTAAAAAAAAAATCAACATAAAGCTAACTATTAGTAAAACGTAAACATCATTTATCTTCTTTCAAATATGTCCAACCTATTATGCATGTAAAATATTTATTGCTACTCGATGAACTGCATTAAGTTTATTTTATTTTCAAACTTATTAATAATTATGTTAATAAATTCATATTTAGTAATACTAATGCATACTACTTAGGGATCTATATTATTTTTAGGATGGTATTACAAAAGTGAAATTCAATTCTTAATATTTTTATTGAATTTATTTAGTTCCCATTTGCTCATAGGTCCTTAATTTTTTTCATTAATGGTCCTTAAAAGTACTTAATTTCCGTGTGCAGAAATGTGTACGAACCTTGAGTGGTGACAGCCAAGTGTCTGTTATGAGTCATGCTGATTATTATTTTATTTTGTTATTTAACTTAAAAAAATTGCATAAACCTACGGACTGAGCGAGTATAACAAAATTAGGCATAAAAGAATCAGTGTAAAGCTAAGTGTTAGTAAAATTTAAATAAAAAGCTCCTATTCTTAAAATATATGAGAATATTAGAAGTTTAAAATATAATGTTTAAAGAAATTTTATAATTTAATGATAATTACATGAAAAAAACTCTAGTGCATTCAGTTCCTATTTGCTTGATAGCCCTTAATTTTTTTCATTCCTTAAAAGTCAGAAGTACAGGCAGAAATATGTACCAACCTTGTAATACAATGTATATTTTTTCCTTTACAGAAAATGATATCTAGACTAGATACAGTGTTTATTTTCGCAGTTACTTGGAGACTACGTAACAGTGAATTTACAAGCATAATTCTACTAGCAACAAATTAAATCTGGAGGTATAACATTCAAATAAATATACAAGTTTGTTTAGAAAATTAAGAAACTCCAATGAAAGAAATGAAGTATTTAAAAAAAAAATAATTAAATCTCTTTGAAATTCCAAAGGTTCGGGTTTGTTTTAAATGATGTTAAAAGGAAATGGAGGATATAGAAAATGTGTACATGGTTTTAAAACCGGTATTTGTATATAGTAGTAATTATTATAAGTAATATAGTATATTATAAGTCCATAGTAATTATTTTATGGATAGGTACTCCCCCCCTCGAACTAAAAAGTGGAGTATTCCTGTATTTAGATTTAAAATTTGAAACTTTAATGCCAACATGAAGTCACAAATGAATAATTTCACACCCAAATTCATATGATGATAGCATATTGGTAATCTATTAGTAACACACAGAATTAAATAAGATTGTTTCTTATTTTGAATGATGAACAAGCTACCTCATATTGTCTACATTGTTAAGGAATGCAGCATCTTTTCTGTCTAACATTTCTTTTAACAAAAAATGAATCTTCAGGCTGTGTTTTTAATAATACATGTATGAAAATTTTATTTTGGACATGTGTCCCATTTTTGAGCTGTGTCATTATGTGAGGGCTATTACTCTGAAATCTAAATATTTCTGGTCCTATTATTTTATGCAAGAGATACTAAATATGTGTTTATTTTACATTTATTCACCTGTTTATATACAAAATTCCTCTAATTTTAATATAAAACAGCATTTAATTTATTACATTTTGTTGTGCAGAAAGATATTTTACAAATATTTAAAAGTAGATAAAATTTTTCTTTTAAAATTTATTGTAAGAATATATCATTTTTAAATTTAAAATAATATTCAGATAAGTGCATTTGGACATTAAAGTTACCATGATTCCTTATATGAGGGTGATTTTGATAATATGTACACCAAAAGTCCATCTGAAATTGAAGCGTAGAACTAATATTTTCTTTGTTTCTCTTTAAAAGAAGCCTTAGCTGTTCCCTCTCTAAAAATATAAATGCTATCTTTTTCATAATAATAGAATGGTTTTAGCAAATGACTATACATTTTAACCAGCCCTTGAATAGGAAGTAATCCTATACTGAATTATATTTTGACTTTGGTAAGAAATTCTGTTGAATTTCTGTAAATGATTTAAGTTTTACAGGAACATTCCATTAACAGTTATACTGTTCTTTTTAAAGATAGCACTAATGACATGAAATAAAAAAAAGAAAGGGTAAGGATTTAAAAACATTTAACGAAAGTCTAATTGAAAAAGTATTAATGTGTAGATTATACATCTATTTATAGTATTTTCTTATATTACACATATCTCTCTATATGATTAAGAAGATAAATTCTGTACTTCTTCAATATAGAAGGTTTAATTAGCATTAATTATTTTAAAGCATTTGAAAAGATAAGGAAATCTAAGGATAATGATCCCAGGTGAGTTATTGAATGTCGATATAATTGTTTTTGTCAAATTTGATTCAGAAATGGCATTTATAATAAAAGAATTTTTCGTTGTCGCCAGGAAGCATATTGGGTATGATATTATCTCCTGTATTTGTTTATTATAGTATATCCAATGCATCCAGACACACAGTTCATTGCATGTTGTTGGTTGAGTCAGCACAACTGCACATCCATTTGAATGATTACAACTATTTCTAAACATCATCCTTTACAGTGAGTTCCTAATCATTGTCCTTTAAAAAGTAGATATTGGCTTTTTCTAAGAAGATAGTTTTTCAAAATATGTCAAGAGGAATGCATTCAAGGTTTGATTCACAGAAATTGTTAAAAGCAATTTCAGTCTAAATGACAGAACACTGTGGATTGTGCTAAAAAGTCCTGCATTTCAGTGCAAGGTGTAGCTTCTGGATATGTACTTGAAAATGTCCAGTATTCTTTTTTTTTTTTTTTTTTTTAAATTTTGTTAATACACTTAAAACGAATTTTATTGGCACCATTCCATACAGTAATGAAGATTTTTATTTGGTGGTGTAGTGGTGGTGTATTTAATTATGGCAAAGCACACGAGGGCTATCTGCCTAAAGGAAGGGATGCCTTATGGAGGACTTTCTAAGGGAAACTGGCTCGTATGCACATTACACATGGGGAAAACCACAAAAACGCCCATGCAGCCAGCCCGTTCACGGAATTCGAACCTCGGACTGAACTACCAGTGTTCAGTGACTTTACCGCTCGGCCACTGGTGGGTCAGATTTTTATTTGGACCAAAAATATATTAAATAATAAAGTAATTCTCTTTCTAGATATGCACTTTAGGGAATTTACTAAGTAAGACCACTTTATGAAAGAATTTCTTGATTTCTGTTACCTTTTATATATAATTATAGAAAGTCTATTAATAAAATAAAGGAAAGCTGTTAACTTCTGAAATATTTTATAAAGAATATTTATATAACAAAAGTTGTAATGAATTCAGAAATATATGAAATACATAAAAAATAAACAGTTATCCAAGTATTATAAAACTGAAACTGAGCAAAATTTTTCATGTTGTCATTTCTTTCAAACCTATAACATTAATAATTGAATTCTTATAATACAATGAAACCCTTCGCAGCAACCACCTCTAAAAGTGTAAAACATTTTAAGAACATAAATACAATCAAAAGTCGTTAATTCGGACACCCATAATCCGGAATGATCTATAATCCGGACCTCAAAGCTAAAAACTTTCTGCGAATGCGCCGCGTTGACACATTCGCATAGGCATTTACGTGTGCGCATAAGACCTTTCAACTGCACATATGCGTGTGCGCAAGCGCAGAATATGTTTTCGTGCGCGCGTTTTATGTATAACGGATGGTATAAGCTAAAATGATCTAATTCAGTTAATGTGGATGATTCCGTTGTTCCTTAATCTTCAAATTGGATCCAGCTTATTATTTTTTGCAGACTGTAAGAGAAATTTTATAAAAGTAAACTTGAACTTTCGATTATGTCAAATAGAATTTCCGATGCTGGAGCTCCCAAAGGATCTACAAAACGAAAGTATGTTTCGATGTCCATCAACCAAAAAGTGGAATTGCTGCGAAAAATGGATAAAGACATGAAGAAGGTGACAGAGAGGTTAGTAAAAACGAAAAAATTTCGATTGAGAAGTTAGTCGGTATTCTCGGCACAGCAATTACGGGACTTGAACAACGGAACTTTGTAACTGGACAAGAAATTATGTCTGTATGTAGAATTAAAGAGAAAGTATTATCACATAAAACGAAGCAACTTAAACAACTTACATTGAAAGAAATGTTTAATAAAGTAAACAAATAAATATTAAGCTTTTTTTTTTGTAAATTTTAATACCCTTTAGATCATAATTGTTCTTTATTTCATAAATTACGGTTTCATATTTTTAATTTTAGAATTTCTGCATGCCATCTTACGAGATTTAAACTGATGATCTATAATCCGGAAAAATCAATAATCCGTAATCGCCGACGAGTCCGGATTAACGACTTTTGACTGTAGTATTGAACATCATGGATAATAATCATATTCCTTAAAAGAAGTAATTACCATATTTTTCGCCATATAAGACGCACCGGCATATAAGACGCACCCAATTTTAAAGGAGGCAAATCTAGAAATAAAAGATTATGAACCAAATTCTGTAGTAAAATATTTTATATCAACTGTATCATAATATTTTATATCAAGTTAACAGCAGTTTAAGAAAAATTTTATGTCAACCATGTAACATACTAAGAGCTATCTTTACTCTCATAAACAGTCAGCAAACAGTGAAAGTAACAAAAATAAGCTGAGCGAAGAGACGCGTGCCTTCACTCGCTCCCGCGCTGGCTTACGAGACTCTAAAAAGTGCACAAAGCCAGCACAGGAGCGAGTGAAGTCACGCGCCTCTTCGCTCAGCCAATCGCAGCACGAGGCAGAGACCGTCCAAATACAGTGCGAGGCAGAGCGGGGCTTCCTGGTCTCAGACGGCGCCAAGAGGTGGAAGGGAACGGAGTGGCTGAGTATTCCTGTGGTAAGGTATGTATGCAGAGGTGGAGGGGCTGCGGAGGGCCATGGTGGGCTTTTGTATTTGCCGTATAAGACGCAGGCACTTTTCCCCCCCTGGTTTTGGAGAGAAAAAGTGCGTCTTATACGGCGAAAAATACAGTATCTTCGCATTTGGCAAAAATCATTTGGAACAATGAGATCCATTTAAGGGTAGTTTAACTATACTATATAAGCTATTAAAAGAAATCAATTAAGAATATTCATTATTTGAGATAAAAAGATTGCTTAAATGAAAAGATTTTTTTTAATTGCCTAATTTGTTTTGTCCACATTAGGTTTGGAAAAATTTGGTTACTTTATCTTAGCAGTAATTTGCTGAAACTATGCTAATTTACAATGAATGTGTGCCCTATTGGATGAAAATTTTACAGTGAAATGAGAAGTTTTGTCAGATAGGTTAGTTTGGTTGGTGAGAATGTGTTTTTATACTGGTGATTTTAATGCATTATAGAATTAAGACACAATAACATGCCGAATAAATACCAATTCAGAAGTCAAACAACAAAAAATCAGCGTAATATTTTCAAAATTTTTACAGGACTAATTTCGATGGTTTTACCGAACCACCATCCTCAGCTGCAAAACCGCAAATGAACAAGATAGGAAATAATGATTACATAAGATAAAGAAAGCCTGGACAAGAATAAGCAAGTGGCGCCATCTCTTGGTGAAACCAGAACTAAAACATAATTTCTTTAAAGGCCGAAGGCAAAGATGGATTGGAATTAGGATCGTTAACTAGAACAGAAAGATTTTTTTGAATGTGAAATGCCTCTAGAAAATCCAGTTCTCCAATGGAAGATGTTTTTTGAATAATTTTGGCAGCAGAAAAATTGAAAGTGTGATTTCCGGACCAACAATGTTGAGCAACAGAAGACTTCTGTGTTTCCTTTTTTCTAACATATGCCTCATGTTCCTTGATGCGAAATTTTAAGGCTCTCCTAGTTCAACCAATGTAAATCAAACCACACTGGCAAGGAATCCTATAAATATCCCAAGAATTCATATCAGGAATTGGGTCCTTGAGTATGGAACTCGGAATTTTATTGATGGGAGAATAAACAACCTGAAAGTTAAATTTCTGCAAAATATGTGCAACTTTATAGCTAATTGATGGAAAGAAGGGAATGACAACAGAATTTTTATAATCTCCTAAAACAAGAGTGTGCCTTTTAGTGTGTTGAGATGAGAATTTTTTAACTGCTCGATTAATAATGTTGGGTGAAAAGCCCCTGTCAACAGCTATTGCTTTTAAATAATTTAGTTCTTCATCAAGGGATAGTTTGGAGGAGGAAACGAAGAGCACGGAAAACATAGGAATAAAATGAAGCTAACTTTTGTTTAGTCGGATGACATGATTTAAAGTAACTTTACTTTAGTTAGCTTCATTTATAGTTTCATTTTATTCCTATGTTTTCCGTGCTCTTCAAGTTTGCTCCTCCAAAAAGTGAATCCTCCCTTGATGAAGAACTAAATTATTTAAAAGCAATAGCTATTGACAGGGGATTTTCACCCAACATTATTAATCAAGCAGTTAAAAAATTCTCATCTCAACACACTAAAAGCCACACTCTTATTTTAGGAGATTATAAAAATTCTGTTGTCATTCCCTTCTTTCCATCAATTAGCTATAAAGTTGCACATATTTTGCAGAAATTAACTTTCAGGTTGTTTATTCTCCCATCAATAAAATTCCGAGTTCCATACTCAAGGACCCAATTCCTGATATGAATTCTTGGGATATTTATAGGATTCCTTGCCAGTGTGGTTTGATTTACATTGGTTGAACTAGGAGAGCCTTAAAATTTCGCATCAAGGAACATGAGGCATATGTTAGAAAAAAGGAAACACAGAAGTCTTCTGTTGCTCAACATTGTTGGTCCGGAAATCACACTTTCAATTTTTCTGCTGCCAAAATTATTCAAAAAACATCTTCCATTGGAGAACTGGATTTTCTAGAGGCATTTCACATTCAAAAAAATCTTTCTGTTCTAGTTAACGATTCTAATTCCAATCCATCTTTGCCTTCGGCCTTTAAAGAAATTATGTTTTAGTTCTGGTTTCACCAAGAGATGGCGCCACTTGCTTATTCTTGTCCAGGCTTCCTTATCTTATCTAATCATTATTTCCTATCTTGTTCATTTGCAGGTTTTGCAGCTGAGGATGGTGGTTCGGTAAAACCATCGAAACTAGTGCTGTAAAAATTTTGAAAATATTACGCTGATTTTTGTTGTTTGACTTCTGAATTATCATTATAGAATGTAAATATCAGACAGAGGGAAAATAAACTGTTCGATTGGAGAGCGACCCGGTCCTCCCAGGCAGTGCAGACCTTATGACCAATATAGGTCGTTTCGATCAGGGAAAATAATAAACTGTAGTAAAATAATTTATTGAGTCAAATGTATTGTAAAGATATTATATTGCTTTCCTACCACTGTAAAAACTGGATAAACATGATGGCCAGTAGAGAGATAAACTGGCCCCTTTCATTTTGCTAATCATTAAGAATGTACCTACCATTCAGTGCTTATGATAAAGAGCAGTGTTTGAAATAATGGAAAAATCCTGAATAAGCTTTATAATTTGAAAATAATAATTTTGAAATTTATAATTCTAAAAATAAAAATGGAGGGGGAAAAGTCCAGCCTTATGATATGATTGATGTAATTGAGTATATTTCTTTCAGATTTAGACATCTTTTTAAAAGCACTCTGGATTACTTTCATCTATAAAGCTGCAGAATTTTTGAGAAAAAAAGTCTTACTGTGCAGCAGACTAAATTTTAGGTTAGTGTTTTTTTTCATGTATTTTTTTAATGTTTATTGCTTATGTTCTAAAATTAATTTTTTTTAATATAAAGGTCACACTGGTTTTCTATACAGGTCAGTCTTCATAACTGTGTCTTTGGTGATGCATCAGCTTGATTAAGGAAATTTAAATCTGTCTGTTCTGAGAAAGATTAAGTCCTGAAGTATTTCCCAGAAGAACACCCAACTTCTCTGCAGCAATGATGGACTTTACATGCAGCTGCATACTTGATATGAGTGTTCTTAGTAAGCCTCTGATTGATGTGAACCCCACTTGTTACTCTCTGACACTTGTTACTTCCCACACTTGGGATCCAAATTGATAGAGAGGTTGCAAAAACACATGTTACATCTTTTTATGCTGTATAACTATTAGCTTCGATTTGGAAGCATTTATTAAGATCCTCCAGCTGGAGTTCTGTGTCAGCTACGAAGTGCCTCAGGATGGGTATTGCTTTTTTCGGTTGTATTGATCTGACTGCAAATGCAGTGTTATCTGCATAACATGTGCACTAAGTTATAGCTGAGCCTCTCTTTCTGAAAGTCTAGAACATATAAAGGAGTGGGCCAAAGCAGGAGCCTCTTAGAATTCCAACATTAATTCATTCCTAGGGAATAGTAAACATTATCATAATTCACTGTAAAGTATCATTGTTTGAGACAGGAGTTGTGGCATAGTGTATTTTTTCTTGAGAACCCAAAATCAATCAAGTTGTAAATAAGCCTCTTATGCCAAATGGGGTCAAATTCTACAAATAAGATAGGAGCTACAGCCATAGTTATACAAAAAAAAAAAAAAAAAAAAAAAACCAAGTAAACTCAAGCACAGTGCCATCTATCCAGGAAGATAATAAAGAAGTATGAAAAATTAAGATATTCGAATTTTAAAGATGTTTGGAATAGTTGAATTGGAATTAACATCATTAACTAAACCAGATAAATTTTTATGAATGTGAAAAGCCTTCAAGGAAATTCATTTCTCTAACTAAAGAAGCTTTATGTTTAATTTTTGCTGATTCAAAGTCAAAATTGTGATTAAATTTCCAAGTATGATAATCCTTCTGTCACTCTTCTGTCATCTAAGGCATGGGTGTCCAAAGTTTTTTCTGTCACACCTCTGTACTGCCAAAAATAAAAATTTCTGTGCCTCTTTTTCCAACAATAATAATATTACCTACCTATAAGGGTAGTAAGAACAAAAAACATAAAAGCTTATTATAGGAATATGCTGTTTTCACATGCATATGCTAAGAAAATAAATAAACGAAACGAGCTTGCAAATTTTTCACGAGATTTTTCAGTTCTTGGCTGAATAGAAGAAAGTATGCAATGTAAATCACTTGCAGTATTGAATTTGCTTCTATAGTTTGTTTTTATTGTTACAACTGCTGAAATCGTACAAATAAGTGCCTGAAAAACTGTAGTACAGTTGCAGTGCTTACTCTACTGTGCTGGAATAAATTTTAAGATATTTTATAAAAAATAAGGGCTTATCCATGTTCTCAGAGTCATATTTTGTTGCAGAATTACTTTTAATGCCCAAAGCTTGCTCTTGTAGTATTTCTGGCAGCAAATCCATGTCAGCATGAAGAGGGTCTGTTGCAATCTGTAAGTTATTATTACATGTGTTAAAAAAAGTAACTTTTGAACTCATCAGTGAGGTGCTGCAAATGATTTGATATTATATTCTTAGTATCAGAATCCTTAAAGTCAACTTCTTGCAGAATTGCTAATAGTTTGCGAAAGCAGGAATAATTGCAGGCTAAATTTTAAATTCCCGGAGTTGCAGTTTATCAGTACATGCTGTGAATTTCAATTTCAGTGAGTTTTCAGTGAATTGAAAATATATGATAGATAAGCTAATACAATTTGAAAACTTGGCTTTTGGAATTCCACATACAATTCAGTTTGATATTGAATTTCCAAAAACTGAATCACTTCATTTCAAAGTTCAAATAATCTTGCTAACATATTTCCTTTTGAGAGCCAGCGAACTTCCATGTTAAATAACAGTACTTTATGTTCTGTTCTCAAATCTTTACAAAGAGTCATAAAATGTCAAGTATTTAATACACTTCTTAACATGGTTGATGGTTTTGATGCATAATTTTAAGACATCATTGAGTTCGTATGAAAGGATTTAACTGCCAAGGCTTGATGGTGTATAGCTCAGTGAGTAGCAGTAACACTGGGATTTTATTCTCTGATCAAATCCTGAGCACATTGCAGAAACCCTGAGTGAGATTCAAGCATTGATGGAGCGCCACCTGTGCATACGCCAGTCAGCTTTTGCCATGACAGTTAATATTTGCAAAAGAATTCAAAAATTGCTATCATTAAATGAATTGCTTTTGAAATTTCACTCAGTGTATGCCCATCATTCTTTAAAAATAAGGCAAAAAGCAACTTTATTTTGGCACAGATTTTAAATAAAGTTTCATCGGTTTTGAAGGTGATCAGACACAGGCCTTTCTTCATCTTGCTCCTGAATATTTGCTTCTGAAGAAAGGTCTGTGTACTGAAATTGGAGTTTTATTCAAAACGTCAAGTCAAAATAAGGTTAGTTTAAAATTTTACATCGCATGTTTTTCTTCTATTTGATTATATGCATGTTAATTTTTTTATTGGTGACTAATTGATAAACTAAAGAAGGTAAGCTGAGTTTGCAGTTTTTTTGGTAAATATATATGTGTTTTAATTTTGAAGTGTTTTTAAAGTTGTATTGTTTCAAATAAATGTTTGAATTTTTAATTTGGAAATTAAACTATAATGTTTATAAATTTATAATTTATTAATTAAGATCTGGAATTGATTATAATGTTTTTGAATTTTATGTAGTGAAATCAGTTTTATTATTCTGATGATGGAATGATCAGTTTCTTCAGCAGTTCAAAAGCTAAGGTCCTGAAAGCTTTCATTTTCTTTACATGTTGACGAAAGACTTTTGTGTAGTTTATGAAGTATAATTTAAAAAAAAAAAAAAAACTCTTTATAGTTTGTTGTTATTCTTAAACTTTATGAAAACATTATAGTAAGTTGATATTTTCTATGTTTGATGTCCTTAAATTTTTATTCTGAATAAAGGAAGCAAAAAAAAAAAAAAAAAAAAAAGTAAACCACATTGAAAGTTGAAATTAACTCAGGAGAAAGTGAGTTGTGTATCATAATTTATGTGACACATTATGATACTTGCTGGTTTTACAGGTGATCAATGATTAATCACCTAGTTGGTAACATTTATTGCCAAATTATAGAACAAACCCCAAAACAAGTAAAAAGAACTGTGAAATATTTTTTATTTCATTCATAGATTTTTTTTGTTTCATAATTGATGATAATTTTTAATTTACCATCAAATGAAAATAAAGCTTTAACTTATTATAATAGTTTTCTTTAACTTATAATAATTTCACAATTACCAAATATTTTTGCATAATGTATCTGAAAATAGATAAAGATAGGAAAAAACAGAAAAAACAAAAACGTTTCAAAGCATTTTTTTTATAATAGAAACATTCATTTTATTTTAAAATGACCTAAAACTGCAATAGTACATTTACAGTACAAGGGAAGAAACTGACAGTTTCACTCACACGTGTGTCGGATTTGTGCAATACTTATGGGGTCCTACACAGTTTTCGTAAATATTATGCCGTCCCCACACCAAAAAGTTTAAGAAACCCTGAAGGGCTAATCCTCCAACTAAATTTGCAAAAATGAGTATGAAATGCAGTTTCTATACCACTATGTGCTAGGTCTGCATTGGCAACTGGTTCATTCTTTAAAAAATAAATAAATAAATAAATAAAAATCAGAAAGGTTTCAGATTTTAAATTACTTCCGAAAGGATGTTTTTTTAACATTTTGTCTGCTACCTTTATTTATTAAATATCACGTTCTTTGCACTTAAACAATAAAATTAAGTTCAAGAGCAATATCGTAAAATAGTTTTAAATTGAGCATATCTTTAGATCTTTAGAATTTCTGATACGCAGTCTCGCGCGTTGGAGATAAAAAAACTTTTTTGTACAACATTCCCATTACTCACTTTGAAATCCTTGAGTTTGTTAATCAGATATTTGTTAGAGATTTACAAAATATGAAATCGATAATGAAACAGCCTCAAAATTTCAAATTAGGGCTTCCGCAAGCCCATGTTCGCAGTAGGATTATGTCATTCAAATTCGATGTCTATTACCATTGTTTTATCACAATGCGAGAAATATACATACATTTATGCAGATTTTTCATTATTTAATTTCTTCAAATATAATGCAGTACTCTAACATTTGGTGGCAACAGTTTGAAATGTGAAATGGACGCGTATAGTGAACCAATGCAAAATCACAAAATGAAAATAATAGTTCCTCAGGGACAAAGCTTGTTTGGACTAAAAAAAAATCACATTCCTGACAGTGGTAGATTTATATACTGTTGTTCAGAAGATCTACATGCCTTCCTGAAAAATAAAGTACAACTTTTTTTTTAATAGGAATTTCTTAAAAATTAAACTTAAGTTTCCCCCTTCATTTTCCTAAAATTCCAATATTTTAAGTTTTTTTGGGGAAGGGAGGGTATGATGCTAAACTTGGCAACATTTCTACAGTGGCTGGTAAAACTGACAAAATAATGGTATATCTGAAAATTTGCTCAAAATTAGCATTGCATATAAGATAGTGTATTAATAATGCATTACCAGTAGCTCTGGTAAGCATAGTTTAATTTGTTATTTGTAAAATACTGTGATATGTATAATTATTTTATTGCTTCTAATTTCTGAATATTTGACTGTTAAATATTCAGAATCATTGAATTGATTATTGACATATACATTGACTGTTAGTTTCATTTTCACTGCTTGTACAAATTATCTCTTTATTCTACAGAATTCACTTGGCTTGCATCATACTGGGAATGAATTAATGAAAAGCCAAAAGATGGTGTCCGGGATTCTAATACATGTATTTTGTCCAAAGCAGTTTCCTGATGAGAAGAATCTGAAAAAAAGCTCATGCATTGCTTCCAAAGGAAAAAAATTATTCTTGCATGTTAGAACAGTAGAAGTTATTACTCGTAATTAATTAGCTGGAAGGCAAATCTGGCCATTCGTATGAAAAATTAGTACAGTCATTTTCTTTATATAATTATTAATTTTTTGGACTTTTATAAATGTTTAAAGCAGAGTAGTTAAATGCTATTTTATTCTGTTTAAATTAATTTCTTATGTACATAATTAATGCATTAATTCATTCTTATTAATTTAGGTATATCTTTATTACAATACGAATTACAGTAAAATGATATATATAATTTAATCATGAAAGGAAGAAAGCTTTCCAACAGGAACTATTCAAATCAAAATTAAAGCAATTCCTAATGGAAGTTTGCTCCCATTTCATGATTTAATTATTATCACTTGATTATTTAATTAATGTTGTTGCATACTGCATGACTAATATATATCCTCTTCGTATGAAATAACTTTTATCTCTCTCTCTCTCTCTTTCTCTCTCTCTCTATATATATTATTACTTAAAAATTATGATGCTTTAGTAATGTAATTTTTAATTGTTTTGTGAAACCTTTTTCTCTGCAAAGCTTGTGAGCACTCCTGAAAGCTAAGTTGCATTCATTGTTGCAGTTCTAGGTCATATAAAGTTCATGAATATGGTGATTAATTTTATAAAATGTTAGTTCAATAATTATTATTCTGTTAGCCAAGTCATATTTCAGAAATACGACTTGGCTAATAGTTTAAAAAAATTAGCAAAATATTATATTGATATATTTATAATGCTTTTTTCTTTAGATACAAATATGATCTTAGAATTATGTTTATACTTTATAATAATGTTAAATAAACTTATTAAATGAAAATGTAATAACGTGCATATCCTTTATTTTACTCGTATATTTTCTACAGTATATCTACATTTCTTGTTAGCACAGATTTAACAGTTCAGAAGTAGTCATCAAAAATTATATGAGCTACATTTTTTTCTTAACATGTTATGCACCATGTCTGTCACTGATGACTGACCTGGTGCATAATTATACTGTATATGGTGTGTAAAACATTATACTTTTATATATCTGACCTCATCGTTCCAATGGCTGATGGCATCTTCATTAAGACTGTGTCTTTCACTGTTGTCTGATGATATATAATTAAAAAAAATTATGTTCTTCTATCAATTTCTACACAACTTATTGGTGAAATTGAAAATCACAAATTAGTTGGGGAGGAAAGCGAAACACTTTGGCGCCTAACATATTAAAAATATATTAAATTATTCATACACAATTTATAAGGTATTGTCTTTTATTGGCAAGTGACTATTTCATTTAATAGCCTTTGAATGTTATTGAATAAATTTGTAAATTTGAACAGTCAGTGTGCAGCTTGCTTCTGGTAAGCAGCTGTTTATGTAGTTCTATTGTTTATATCTGATCTTTAATTGTTTTTTATTATTTTTATAGAAATTTTTGTTATACGAGGATTTTGTTACTTACATTTAACATTAATTATTTCTTCTCATTTTCCTTTTTTCAATTAAATTTCCGATCAAGGACTTCATATTATTTTGTATCATTTCAGTCTTTCCTTTTTGTTGGTATTTAAGTATTGTTTACCAATATTTTTTAATTTTAGGTTTGGATCATCACTCTGTTCCTGCTAGTGAACAATACAGTTATCTTGCAAAATTGCCGTGTACAAAGAACAGTTTTTCATTGACAAAGAATAATATTACAGTATTTTCGAAAGATGCTGAATTTCATAAAGTAGAAAACCGATGTAAAATCTGCAACAAGAAATTTTCAACTCCCGGGAGTCTTAGAAGACATATGGAACTTCACTTCTATCAGAGAAAGAACTTTCATTGCCAACTGTGTGGTAAAAGATTTTCGTGGAAAACTGATCTACGTAATCATCTTAAAAGAACTCATGGTTCATAAGCATTATAATGATAATTTTTCATTTTCAGATTAATTTCTCTTCAGCAATGAGCTTTCAGACTATCATCTTAAATCAGATATAATAGCAATGAACATATGAATTTTTTAATGAAGTCTTTTAAATAGACTCTATATGTTGAATTTTTTATATATATTAAAAATGAAAGAAATTTAACTATATAGTTATTTATATTCTTAATTTTCTCTCTCTCTCTCTCTTTTTTTTTTTTTTTTTTTTTTTTTTTTTGTATGGACATGCAGATTTTGATGGTTTCTTGAAAGCATACATTCTGAAGTGAATAATCATATGTGTGTTGCAATAACATAATCAACCAACTAATACTTCTGTACTGTAAATATCTTTTAATTGTTTGAGCAGAAAAATACAGGTTTAGATAATCTGGAAAAAAATATTAATTTATATTGCTTCTTATGTTTATAAATATTTTTAAATGATTAAAGTAATTAATTTATACATGTGTTTGTATTTTTTTTTTTTTTTTTTAAATTTTTGTCTCTACATATTCATGGTATTTGAAATTTTACTGAGTTCTGATTTATTAAATTTTCAAGTATTTCATATATCTTTCTGTATAACTCTATTATTAAATAATAGAGGAGCTGTATGTCCCTTGCACTAAACAATGAGACCTCCATCCAAACATATGCACCTTAAAGCTCAAATTTTGAATTTCAAATTTTTTTTTCATTTATTTCATATTTTATGCGAATATAATGAGGTTTTGGACAAAATGAGCAGTTTAAAAGCTAGCAGTGGCAACATTGTTTGAAATGAAACATTTTTACCTCAGTGCATCAGACTGTTGCGGTTTGGCAAATATAAGATTTTTATTTTTCAGTTTTAATCAACAAATTTGGCTATTTAAAAGTATTATGTTGCTGCTGTCTGAAATAAAATACTTTTATCTTCCATGTAAAAGTGTGTCCATCAGTATGTTACTATTCAGTAAAGTATAAGTTAAAACTTTCAAATTTATGTGTCTGTAATTGTCAGTTTTAATCTAACAACCCAGGCGATTTAAAAGCAATAAACACAGTTCTTAAGACTATTATTTTCTTTTCAATCTGATTAATTTATATAAAAATGTATTTAAATAAGATCTCTAGTTAGAAATACTAAATATTTTTATGAAATTGCTCTAGCTGAACTAACTAAAATAATTAATATTTTTAAAATTTTTATGATAGGCAGCAGGCCATGCAAGCAGCTATTAAATTCATAAATTGTGCATTTACAGATACAATAATTTTGGTCATTTTGTTCTGATTAGAAGGCACAAAAAGTATCTTATGTAATTAAAACACATAAAGTTTCATAATGATTTTTTTCTAAATATTACACCTTTATAGTACAACTATACTTAAACATCAGCAGCTTTTTTTTTTTTTTTATGGTATGGATAAATTATTTTGGTTTGTTAAAAATCTTTTTGATGATTTAAATTCAGTGACTAAGTTTTATGGAAACATATATGCAGCATACTGCATGCGTAGATGCAGCTAATATGCAGCAGCGTCATTACTAACTAAATTTTGAATGGTGAAAGAGTAACCAGAGTTTCCGTTTTATAGATCTCATAATGAAAGCATATTCACTTACTGCAAAGTATCAGACTGAAGACAGAAAAGGGAAGACATATCATTCTTTTTGCAGAAAGAGAAAAATCTTTCTTTCTTCATATGGCTAGTAAAATATGTAATAGTTAATTTATTTTAAGTGTAGAAAAGTTTGCGTAGAATATTGTTTATTGTGATCATGATTAAAGTTAACAATTGGATATTATCATCAGTTTGTTGAAGTGCTACTCGTTTGTATTCAGAAACATTGAAAATTCATTATTTTTTATAATCAGCAAGTTCTTTAATATATTAAAAACAGTGCAGTATGAGTTGTTTCTTTCAAATCAAAATGATATGCTTTTAATGTTTTTATCATTTTATGGTGATTTTGGTGTATGTGTTTAATCATTTAAGGAATTCAAACACTTTACAACTTTCTAAGTTTTTTTTTTTTTTTTTTTAATCTGAGGCATGTAAAAGTGTAATTATCTGAATAGGTAAAAATGCTATAAACTATTGCATAGATATCATCAATAGTTTTAATGAATGAATATTGAAATAGAGTAATGGAATGAGTAATGTTTTTCATTCTTTGTTTGAGTTATATGATGCATTGCATAAGTTTAAAATTTAAATTTTATTCCTTTCTGTTGAAATTTTATTCCTTCTAACAACTCACACACCTATAACTCAAATGTATGGTGAAAGATTCATGAGAGCAATGAAAGGCTATCTTGGTGAAATGATCAGTGACCATTTGCAGTGTGGAAGATATTGACATAAGTGCAATAGGTTGACAAAGAAATCTTCATAATGCTTCATAAGGAAATCTATATATGAACATAGTAGCCATAGTTCTTTGTATAGTATATCAACTATAGATGATATTTTGTGAAGCATCTAGCAGTATATTTTACTGAAAAACAGAGATGCAAAGGACCTACAAATAAATTTTTTCCCCATCAAAATAAAAAATATGTGAGAAAGGGCATGATGATAAAAAATATATAAAAAAGATTTGAGGTAGTAAGATAAATTTCCAATGAAAAAAAAAAAAAAAAAAAAGGAAAGATGCTTATTCAAAAAGACAAAAACAATTCATATATGCATCATTTTGTGTATAAGGGATGCAAGCACTGCTGTTTATGTGAAATATTCGTATGGCTATAGCATGCCTTAAATTGTGCATTTATGATTTAAAGCTTAAGGAATTTTTAAGTAAACTTTTTTGTTTTAGAAATATGCAAATTTAAGAAATATAAAATATGTTTCTAATTAAATATTTTCAGTTGTTTCAAATTCTGTGTTTGCCTTTTTATTTATTTTTTTTTCATATACATTAACCATATAATCTCTTCCCTCCCTCATTTCACTATCATGATTGTGGTAATATTGTAAAATGAGGGGTTTCTCTAAATGTTCAGATGATTTTGAAGCACTATGAAAATGAGCAATAATACTTTTGCATAGTAAATTCAATCCACTACAAATAAATTTAAAAAAATTCTAACTAATTTTACATAAAATCATATATTTGAATAATTTCAGTCATTTAGATTAAATTAGCTAAATTATGCTGCCATTTTCCCATCATTTAATGATATCATTATGTTAATTTTATCAAAATCATTATGAGCCAGTGTGATGCTATTAAGTGATATCTATTGTAATATTGTTCTTTTTTCATTCAAGAGGAAACTCTCAGTCATAACTTAATACTGTGTCAAGCTGACTGAGAGACATCTGTCCATGGGTTTAAATTGAGCCTTTGTATTTCTTTATCTTAGTGAATTATTTGATTTTAATACTGTATGTAAAGGTGAAAAATAAACTAATAACAGAACACAAATTAAACAAATGTGGAATATATCAACAGCTGTATATATAATCAAGATATATTTTAATTACTAATATGACAAATATTAAATTATTTTGTTGCTGTTGTCTGATGAATAAAATTCACATCTATAGTGGAATTAAGATGATTACCACTTTTAGTCATTTTTATAAATTTATTATTTTTTTTACTTTACTTGCCTCATGTTCTGAAACAAAACAAATTAAAAATGATACAATTGTGAAAAGTTTACTTAGTTCACCACCTAAAATATTTACTGAAATAATTTTTTAAAATTAGCCTGTTATTATTTTAAAATTTTGTTTTAAAATATCAAAATTATGTAGGTTCATATTCAAGATCATCTAAAGGTTTGTGAAGTCTATTGGAATTGCAGCTGAATTTTTTTATTGCTTTAAGAGTTTTTTTTTTTTTTTTTAAAGTTTTAGTTTTTGGTATAAAATTTCACCCAGACCATCCCCAAATTTTTTTTTTTTTTTTTTACATTTTTAATACTGTGTATCTGAAGTCCTAGACTGCATTTTTTCCTGCCTCTGGTTCCTTCTTCATATATTCAGTCTTCATAGAAGATACATGTTATTTTGGGAAAGTATTTTTGAAGAAAATGTTTGTTTAATGTACTGACAAAATAATTATGCGTTTGTATATAACTATATTTTTCATGGGAAATGTGTATCTAATATAACTACACATTTGTCTAGGAAATATGAAAGAATTTATTGCAAGAATGGGAACCAAATCTCCAATATATGAAGAAAGACGACCTGTTTGCAAGATATGTTTCAAGACATTTTTCAACAAGCCAAACCTCAGACGACACATGCAAATTCATTATTGTAAACGAAAATTATATTCATGCCATTTATGCTCAAAATCATTCTCATGGAAGACTGATCTGTCAACACATCTCAGGGTTTTTCACTATGAACAAAACCAATATATTTAGTATAAACTTTTTGTTAGATAATTGTATGAATATATATATATATATATACATGTATACTGTCATGTCTCCATATGCATTAATTCTGTATCTGCAGTTTCAGTTACCTGTGATGTATGGTGAGGAGGAAAAAAGAATTGATGTAACCAAATATGGGAATAGAAGTGGTCATTGTGGAATATTATGTGTTCTCAGAATATAGGTCATCCCTTATAATATGTTTCTTTTCTCACAAGTCTATATAATGCTTGTTATTATTCAGGAACTATTTAGCTCATTGTTTTTTCACATATGTTTGTACTTTTTTTAAATTAAATTTGCATCTACTCCTCTTTTTAGCATTTTTTTTTTTTTTTTTTTTTTCTGATTATTGCCACATTAACCATATAATGTTTTTCATTATTTTGTTGACAAAAGAGTGATTTTTTATTTCTGTCATCCCTTTAAACATAAAATGTGCAGTGCAGAAATTGCATTTCATCATTTCTCTCTCATCTTTCATGGATTAAGCTAAAATGTTGAATTGTTTACTTAATATAATATATATGAGATAGAGAGTATGCCACAGTGTACATCGTATATTTTTTTCAAATTTTGTTCTACTGTATGTAATGTAGTGGGAATGAACAGTATATGTTATTGTTGCTTTATTTAGTGCTGGTGATATCTTATAGGGCATATTTTTTCTACTAATTTGACTATTATTTGAATAAATATTGCTTTATATAATGTTCACCAACATTCATGGCTTCATGTATCTACAATAATATTGGAATCCGCAGATGCAGTGAGAGAGAGAGAGAGAGCGATAGGTACATACAGATATTTATATATGTGTGGACAGATAGAAAACATTGCAAAGACATGAGTGAAATTTTGTTGTTGAACCATGATGTAAAATTAAACTTTAAATTAAGGCCTGTGGTCTACGAGGTCAAAGTTTTTAGCTTTGTGTCGCGAAAAAGCATAACCTAAGTTGTATGGCCAGTTTCCTGAAGTGCTTTATATCATTTATATTCAGAATAAGTGTGTTTTGCATTTGACCATTTCAGATTGCAGAAATGCAATGATTTTAATTGAGAAACTTTCAAAATTTTCATGTTTTTCTTATATTCTTTTAATTATATAAATTATGAATATTTTGATGTTTTGCTATGGTAGCGTTGCATTTTATTCACTATAGATGGCTGATTGAGGATAAAAAGAATTCTTTATTCATATAGAAAGTAAATAAAATTAATTTTTCCATGATTGCCTATTGATCTTAATCCGCATAGCTTTTGCTATTATGAAGTTCTTTATGATGTGTAACTTTGATATAGAACTATACATGAATTATCTATAACTATAGTGATGTCTAAGCTCTAATATGAATACATATTATGAGTATGTATTTATATGGATAATCTCTGTCATTATTCCTAAAAAAAAAACAAGATTAAATTAAAGAGAATTCTGCTTTGAATAGAAATTGTAAATATCATCTAGTGTAAAAATAATCTAAAAAATAAAAATGTTTAAATTTTGCAAATAAAGGCAAATTTTTTTATGGATACAAATATGTCCCTGTAATAGAATTTTTTTAACATAAGATTTAAATGTTTTCATTTATAGGATATGTATTTCATTGGTAATATTTAATTTCAATTAATTAAAAATTTTTCTTTCTGTTTTATCTTTCTACGATGATAATATTAAACTGTCTATCAATCTCTATTAAAAATCAATTTTTGTGATTTTTTGTTATTTTCAGATACAACAACAAATTTTATATTTGCCGGAACTCAACTCGGTGCCCAAGATGCATATGGAAGTTTGTCTTGTGATGTGTGTAAGAAATCATTTACAAGAAAGCATAATCTTCAGCGTCACAGGGAATTACATTTTTTGAAACGAAAAAGCTATTCTTGTAATATATGTGGCGGTCTGTTTTCATGGAAAACTACTCTAGATAGTCATCTTAAAAGTGTGCACAATGCAGTGAGTTTTTCGAGAAAATTACCTTTCAAAAAATTTTAAAGTGACTTTTTTTTTTTTCATTTGCTGTATGGGTGTCTTAATATGTTATAATCTTTAAATAATACATATACATTCTAGTATTTTAATTAATCTTTAGCATTAATAATGAAATACTATCGATTGTTCATATTCTTTTTCTCTCCTCTTTGATTAAATGAAACTTGGATTCAAGAAAGGGGGGGGGAAAGACTTTAGACGTTCTTTTCCTCTAGCCTAATTATTTTTACAATTTCTAATATACGACCAGTAGTATTATTAGCGAATCATTTTCATAGAGCAATCTGATATTCTTAGTTACTGTGAAAATTAACTGGTTTATATTTCTTAATATATATTGATTTAAGGATAAGCTAGGAGGTAACATTTTGCTTCAAAAATACAGTCAAAATTGAAAATCTATGCATAAAATAAATTTAAAATTTTAAAATAAATTCTGTTCATAATTTCATATGAAAAAAAAAAGGATGAAAATTTATTTTGCAGATGTTTAATTGACAAATATTTTGTTTTAGTATTTGATATAATGTATGTAGTCATTACAAATTCTAGTTTTCATAGTTTAGCAAAACTTTAAAATTTTTATCTGTAATATTTGTATTTTATTAAATTATGTATTAATTATACATATTCACCAATGCTTGAATCTGAAGGTGAGGAGCATAAACATAATGTTTGCAATATGTCATTTAAAAATATAGTAAAATGTTCATGTGAGTCTAAAAATCGTTCATTTATTTCCATTTGCATTCTTACTTTTGATGTTAATATTCGTCAAAATTTTATAAAAATATATGTCTTTTTAATGAGGTGTTGAATATTTATTAAAATAGCACTTTAGCAACTGTGTATATGAATTTCAGAGTTGTGATTAATAAAATAATTATTTACATGTTAGCTTCTGTCCTTTTTACATTGAACTGGGATAGTTACATAAATTTATTCAAATGATCTTTTTTTTAAAGGAATGGCAACTTTTTCAATGGTTGACCCTTCAGAACCATTGCAAGTTATATTCACTTAAAATTTCAGTTGCAGTTTAAGCTGTTATCTTTAAAAACCATTTATAGTGCAAGATGGATATGAGTTTTTCCAAGCAGAATGAAGTTTTATGACTGAACATTATTTTGCAGTCTCTCTTATAGTAAAGTTGTTGAAACATTTAAACACAACATCCAATATATTCACAAAATTAACAAAATAATGATTTCTCGCTTGGTAACTTGATTTCGAGAAACTAGAAGCGTTCACCATGAAAAATGACGGGGCTGCTCGTATCTTCTGAGTTTTGTTAAAAATCAACAAGGTTGGGTATAAAATATTGCAATTATCAACAAAAAATATAAAAAAATGGCATTGTAATCAAATTTTTGTATTTCAAAGTAATATTTAATTATAAATATTCATTCTGCTTGGAAAAAACTCATTTTCAAACTGCAGCAAGCGAACAGACTGTAAAACTAACTGCATAAACTGGAGTTAAAGTGGTATATTACTTGTAACAGTATAGGAGTGTTATCTATTTAAACATTTTGTCATTAGTATCAGTTTTGGATTTCACTGTTTTTCAAAGTTTGATGTGCATGATTTTTGGATTATATTGTTTATAAAAACAAACTATGAAGAAAGATGTAGCTGATGCTAATTTAAATTAAGTTTTTTAATTAACTTATAAAAGTTATTTAATTTCTGTAGCTTACCATTGTTACCTTAGTTTATATAAGAAGCTTAGTTTTTATAAGCTTTTTTTAAATTAGGAGCATGTTAAAAATAGTAATCTTTGCAAAAATAGTATTCTAGAAATAATTTAAATATGTATTTTTATGAAATATAAATATTTATTAATATTCATATTGATATATAATTAAGGAAATCGTGGAGTTGAATTTTATATACAACTGGGCTTTACATACATGCTGTGTAACATTATGTATAATTTTGATGGGTTTATTAGAAATGTTGAAACATATCATGAATTACGAGAAATAATAAATGATTATGCCAGGTGTAATGAATTTGTTTTTGTTAACGTTTGTGTTAAACTGAATTCTTATTTCCTGTAGGAAAGATATTATCATTGAAATATTATTATGCATGCTCACATAAATGTCATAACATGTCATGTATGCCATCAGTTAAATTAGTATAATCTTGTAACTCAAATTCATTAAAATATACTGTAGACTCCTGATTAACCCAAATAATATTGGAAATAATTTCCAAGTTTAATACCAGATCATAATTAATATGACAGCAGTTAAAAAAGCAGAAGAAAAATGAATAACCTATATTATAATTAATGAAAAGTGTTAGTAATTTAGTTGTATTTAAAGCAGTTTGATTTGGAGATAGGTTATGTAAATTAAATCAGAATTTAAAAAAAAAAAAAAAAAAAAGCATACTTCAAAACTCAATGCTTTTATTTATATTATTCTTGTATTTAAGTAAAAGTCACTGAGAAACAGATTACTGGCTACACACTTAAACACTTAATTTATTCTTATGTTTTAGGAATTTATTTTTAATTAATGATTTAACAACGATTTCCAATTATCAGCAGGTAAATTATGTACTATTGTGGATAAGTATTTGGCATCATCTATTGTCACTGCTGGTATCCTACACAATTTTTTTTCTTTTTGTATAATTCCCATAGCAGATTTTTATTTTAAAGGTTTGTCATCCTAATTTTTCCATGGTCTTGGAATAAACTTAATTTTTTTTTTTTTTAAAGACAATGCCTGATTTATTCAGAACCCAGTTAATACATCCATGGTTAATTAGGAGTATAGAACTTTTCATGCAAAAGTGTAAAAATTAATTTTCAATCTGTTTGTAAATAAAGCCGATTAAAAAGGAGGGAGATTTTGCTAACAAGTAGTTGTCTCAGAAGTAATATTAGTTGATGCAGTAATTTCAGAAACTCTGTGATACTCAGCTATCATAACCAATTATCAGAAGTGATATAAATGTTGTCTAATAGAATTTCAGAATCAGAATGTATGAATTTCAGAATTAAATTATAATGAAAAGATTTGATTGTAACTTGGAAGCTCATGAATATAAAATTGTATGCCATTATTAAGCTCCCCTTTTTACAGATACAAATACTTATACAGGCCTGTATAAATTTCATAATGATTAATTTGTTTGACTGAATATCTGCTATCATAACTGAATAATTTTTTTAGAGCTTCATTTCTGATACGAATTGTTCAGAATATCTGCTGTGATAAGAGGATGATTTTCCTAAACTACATTTCTAACACAAATCGTTCATAGCACATTCTTAATTAATCTTAAAACATTTTGTTCTCTTATTGTTGATTATGTTTCCTGTTTTTCCTTATTATATTCAGTATTACTGTCAAATATGTTCATTCAAAATCTTAAGTTTTATATTAAAATCAATACTGTGTCTTGAAACAAAGTAATGAAAATGAACTGGGGGGGTACACCAAAATTCATGTCTTAAATCCTTACGGATGGTTCAATTATTTCATAAGTTTTCTCAAATATTTTAGTTGCAATATGTAAAGTTGCTAATCAACTGAAAATTTTGGGAGTTATATTTTGAGAAGTATATGGTCTCAATTCTTTTTTAGTAAATAAATAATTTTTTTTTTTTTATTTTGCAGCAAGATGTAGTAAATTAAAGAGGCTTGCAGATGCTATTAAATGATATAAATACTGTGCATGTGTAACAAAAATGATAGGATACTTTTATCTACTGCTTATCCCATCTGTAATAATAATAAATTTATTGATATTATTCTAAGCAATGCTGGCCTGCTTTCGGTGCAGTGTAACAAATTTGGTTTTTTTCACCAGTAATTTTCACTAATCTAACCTAACCTTCTAAGCAGTGTTGTATCAGTTTATCAACAGTTGCTATTTAACACCATGTGTTTAAATTTTTAATGCATTTATCTTTTGTATTTTTTAAAAAGTAAGTAATATCTTAATTGACACATAATTTTCTGTTTGCAGAGGACACCTTTTTATTATTATTTTTAATGTGGTGCTTATGTTTTTGAAGCTTTAGTAAAAAAAAAAAGGGGGGGCATTTTTAAATGTTTTTTAGTGTATGAATTTCCCTAATTTATGCATTTTTTTAAATTCTTTATTTTAGGATATATACAAGATTTAGTTGTTATTTTGATATCAGAAAAAGAAGTTTAGGGAATGTATATAGAGCGTAAAATATGAGTTTGCAGTAGATTTTGTTAATAAAAAATTTCAAAAATTATGTCACTGTAACAGTCAGTCCCCCCCCCCCCGTTATATTATTTTTTGCCCGAGTGAAAATGTTATTCAGAACGTTAATTTTAACTGAAGCAAAATGGATACACGGTACTATATGTCTATATGCACCTCAAGAATTCTTTTAGTATTTAAGTGCACCTTTATATTCAAAATATAACTTTTTTTTTAATCAATAAGTATAATAAAAGTAAATTTGTGATATATAACTAAGGAAATCATGTTTGGTCATCACTTATTTTGCACTTTGATTGCAAAAAGCTTTGTGATTTAGATATATCTTTTGTGATACTATTCCTTTATTTGAAATTGGTGTCCATTAGTTGATGGTTAAAAAATTGAAATTCCAGTGTCTTTTTTATAAAATGTGTAACACTAACATTCTTCAGTATTTTACTTGGGATATGTGATAAGTGCTTCTCTTTTTAAAGTTGCTCTGTATGATTCCCATAAAAGCTGTTCTTTCATTGCAGGTGTTATGAATCTATTTTATTTCTTTGAAATCGACTCAATTGCTATATTTTTCATAGGTGAAAAATAAAATGCAATTATGTGCTTTTTTATAACTAATGCTTATGAATATTATGCAAGTACAACTATAACTGTGCCAGATAATGATACTTGTTATGAAGTGTTAAAATTGAAAACTGTTATGTTATACTTGTTATTCTCTTTATAAATTCATATTTGTTTCTGATAGATAATGTCTGTATTTGTAAATAGTTTTCCTTAGAATTAATTTATTTAAACTTTCTTACAAACCATAACATGTATAAGAAAATAATAATTTTATTTTACTTACTTTTCTGCTCATAAATGTACATAACTTCATTTTTTTATGAAATATTTTAATTTCTTCGCTCCTTTTATTTTTTTAAATCAATTTCTGCACAGTTTTAACTTGGTTCAATATTTATCTAGTTTACTGTATCTTATGAAGTGAAATTAAATATTATCTTTTAGCATATCCCTTTTTTTAATGAAAATTACTAGTTTCTTTAAGTTAATGATTAAAATTGACAAGCAGTTTTAGTTCTGTTATCTACATCTCTTTTCCATTTTTAATTTCTATACTTGCCTCAGTTTTAAAGTATATATGGTAATAAAATATATAACAATTTTTATTTTTCATTGTCAAAATTTTCATGAAGTAAATACGTCTAAAATGTCTGTTTCTAATACCTGGTTTTACTTCTGAAAAGCTTTATTTAATGGAAGATATGTTTGCCTTAAAACTGTCTTTTGAATTTCTGCTATCATAACCGAATAAAGATAAAATTGCCTTCCGATAAAATGAGTATAGCAATTCTTTTGTGAAGTCAAAATCCTAACCCTGAAATTTTTGATTTTTATCAATTTCTACATTAGCAATATGTTTAAATTTACTGATATTATTTATGTAACCAAATCAGAATTAGAAAACTCGATTTTATATAGCTATTTAAAAATCCTTCAAAGTGAGAAATAACAGGGAGGCCAGAAAGTTATGTTGTTTCTGCACACGTCAATATTTAATTGTCATTTGTCAGCTCATTGTGTATCTCGAAGGCATGCCAAAGTCATTTTAAGGTCATTTTGACTTGCTCACTTCTAAATAATTAAATATTAAACTTTTTTTTTTTTTTTTTTTTTTCAATTTGGGGTGAAATGGCCAGCCAAATACCAGAAGAACATATCCGGCATTGTATGCTTATGCAACATTTGCGACCAAAAACATTGCGATGCTTATCCACATGCATTAGGCATTCATAAATGCCAAAGATGGTTTTCCAAGTTCAAATCCAGTAATTTTGATCTCTCTGACTCAGTGATCAGGATGACTAACAACATTAGACAACAACAGGCTAAGGCCAGAAGTGGAAGCAAATTCATGTCAAACAATCGAGGAACTGTCAAACTCCCTTGACCAACCTTAGTCGATCATCCAAGAACATTTAAAGAAATGGAAAAATAAGCAAAGCAGTTGTTTGGAGTCCCCCATAATCTGTCCGAAGAGAACAAGGCCAACCTATCCATCACACGCAATGTATTGCTTCAACGGCACCATACAGAACCATTTTTTGATCGCTTGATTAGTGGAGACAGAAAAATAAGTCCTATATGATAATCCAAAACTCAAAAGGCTTTCCAAATAATCACCATGAAGTTACAAAGGGGTTTACATCCCGAAAAGGCACTTCTGGTATTTGGTGGAGTATTCGTGGAATTGTTCATTTTGAATTGCTGAAATCTGGAAAAACTGTTAATGTAGACCTTTATTCTAAACAATTGGATCTAGTGAACCAATCTTTAATTGGAAAAATATCCGGCGAATTGTCAACGGAAAAGGCGTCATTCTGCAACACGACTGGAAGATGCATTGTGCAAGACGAACACTGGAAAAAAATAATGAATTGGGGTGGGACCCACCATATTCGCCCGATATCGCACCCTCGGATTTCCATTTATTCCAATCCCTACAACATTTTCTTAGTAACACAAAAAATTTCAAAATTTTGATGATGTCCAAAATGTCATCTCGAGATATTTTATTTTACTCAAAAACCAATTGATTTTTATTGATCTGGGATTGAAAATCTGCACACTAGATAGCAAAAGGTTGTTGATAATGAGAGTGATTATATTATTGATTAAAAATAAAAACTTGTTAAAAGTTTATTCATTTGAATTTAATGTAAGAAAGCGACCTTTTTTCTGATCCCCCTATTAATATTAATTCTGAGGAAAAATTAAAGCAATAATTGTGGGTACTAGAAATATATATGTTAGCCTTATTTAGCTGAAAAACCATAGATACTCATATGAGAACCTTGACTAAAATTATCTCTCAGCTTTACAAAATTTTATGCATTTAGTTTTCATAAGAAAATTCTATTTTCTGATGCCACTAATTTACTGTTGAAACCTGATGTTTAAAATTTTAGGTTTATTAATTAATTTATAATACAAACAAGATGGTTAAATTTATATTACATAATTTGTAATAAAATTGATACACTGTTTCACTTTTAGAGTAAGTACTATCAACAGTATCAATGTATGCATTCTATATATATCATAGAAAAATATCTTTATCTGAAATTTCTTTTTCAGAAGTGCCTTTGAATGTCTCGTGTAGATGATCAATCACTATCTTTTATGCAAATGAGGTTAAATGTTTTGTATGCAAGGTGAATTATGCTTCTACATTGGTATAAGGGAAACATCTTAAGCAAATATAATTTTATGCTTTTTTATCTCAGCTTTTTCTAATGACTGAAACTAAATTTTTTCTCCTTAAAATGCCTAGTAGCATAGTATGCTTTTTTTTTTTCAGAGCTATTAAAAATCTTGTTTCAAATTTTTAAAAAATTGTTCTATTTGAATCTCTTTGTAATTGAGGATCTAAAAAAATATTCAGACATACATTAAAAGATATATTTTTTCCCCTTTAAAATTTATTGATTGGTTTGTTTTTAAAAAGTAGAAGGGAAAGTTTGGTCTTTCCCGTTCTGCTTGCTATTATGCAGAAAGGCAAATTTTATTTTTGTTTATTACATGTAGATAATGCGCAAAAAATTTTAAAGTGTAAATTTTTCAGAGTATTTTCTTAGGTAAACTTTTAAAAAAATTATCAAAATCTCTTTTTATTTTTAACCAGTTGTTAATGATTGTTGAATATAAATTCCTTCAAAATATTGTTTTCGAATATTCTCCGATAAATTTGACAATATGTTCTTTCTTTCTTTCTTTTTTTTTTTTTTTTTGTGTGTGTGTGTTGTGTGTGTGTGTGTGTTATGGAACATTATATACTTTATTTAAGTGAATGCAAAACGTCAACTCATACAAGATATTTCCGATATCAATTTTTAAACTTTTTTTAGTTTTATCATATTTTCAACTGCAGAAGTGCTGAAATACTGCACTGAACTATTACATCCACTAATAGCTAGAAAGTGAAGGAAAGAGAGAGAAACATTATATTGATGTGTAGACTTTCCATTTTAAATATTTTTGCAGTTTGAATTAAGTAACTAATTTCTGATTCGATTTTTACTGCTTTTCCAAAGATTTCATTATTTAATATTCTTTTTAAATTAACTCCCTCTTTTCCAGTTTTACCTGTTTATAGATTTTTCATGTTTAACTATTTCTCCTTTTTAACTATTTCTCCGAAAAATTTCATTTAGAGTTTTTTCCATTTGCTCTTAATATGCATTTGATCATCAATTTGTAGGTCCTCCTTTTTAAAAATTATTTCTCTTTGAACAGAATGATGGAAAATGTCTTGTGTTTAGAAAGTTGCCTAGTTACTAGATTATTTCTAGCCTGATTTTGTATATTTTTAATTGTATTTTTGTATTTGTACATGGCCTGTATTTTAGTCACTGTGTGTCAAACTTTTAAATTTTGTGTAGTTATTTCTGTACTTTTTCATTTTTTAAACATTGTTAATTTTATAAATTTCTGTCTCAATATTTATGTTACATAATATGTGTGTGTATATATATATGTGTGTGTGTGCGCCTGTGTGTTATTGTAATTTATGTAATTTTCCTACCTCGATAGTTTTACTGCTTGTTTAATTTATTACCTAATGAATCATTTATGCTTATCTGCATTTGAAGTAAGCTGATGCTGTGGAATCTGCAGAAATAAAGTTCAGTATCCTATCAGTTATGATCTCATTTTAGTGCAATAAATTTCACATAATGTCACTTGCTTACCCTCAGTATTTCTAAATGAAATATCATGCATATGATAAGCATACACAAGACTATGTAGATTTTATTTTAAAATATGCATATTAATAAATCATTACATTAAATGTAGACTTGAGTTTGCTGCTGATTTCATTATCTGAAACTGCCTTTTAATGATAGCATGCTTAATAAAATAAAATAAAATAAATAAAAAAAAAATAAAAAAACCTGCCATGTCTGTTTTCAAAGGAGATATGCAAATAAATATTTGCCCAAAAGGAATTTCATTGCACTCTTATTTATCTCTGAATTCTGGAATGTGATGTGGATCCCTCAGAGAGTGCTTATAAATGCAGCAGTTATAAACTTTGAAGAATTTAAAAGTTGTATACATTTGCAAATAAGTAAAATTTCACATCAAACTATTACAGAGCAGTTTAGCTTGATTGTTTGAAATTTAATTTTGCATATATTTCTTCTTACTCTTCCAGCTGACTGCTTTATAATATGAAATAAATGCTTTTCCCTATTAACTGCGCTATTTTATGAAATAGACCTAAAAATAAATATTTTTGTTATGAAATTCATACATTAAAAATTTTTTCTGGCCAAGATTATTTTAGTGAATCTAATTTTATGGGAAACTACTCTATTATGATCATCATTTCATTGCAGGCTTTCTTTTCCCTTAGTGATCTGCTTGATAATCATCATTTCTTTGTTGGCCTTCTTTTCCCTCTTGTGGTTAGTGATTCAATATCACATGATTTATTTATGTATATTTCTGTCACAATTCTGTTTTTCCTAGGTATAATAACTCCAAGATCTTAGAAATAAAGAAAACATTTTGAAGCAAGGTTTTAATTTATTTGTAAAGCAAAAGCGGAATCTTGTAATTTACCAGAATTCTAATATTTTTCTTCATTGAAAATATTATATTATAAAATCAATTTGCTATTTGAGCTAATAAATTCATTTATAGTTTTCAAGAATGAGTAAAATTCCACAGCTTCTAAAGTGCTGAAAGCTACTGTCATGTTTACTAGGTTTCAAACTGTGAAATGTTTTTTGTTAAATAAATACTTTAATTTTTCTTGCTTTTTATCATATTTGTAGAAGCATGTACAAGCTGTGATATTCAGAATTTCTTCTTGTGTAGTTTCTTCCTATAGAATTTTTACTAGTGCTTGAAAAATAGCCATGAATTTATTACTGCAAATAGTTAGCTAATTGAATTTATAATATATAATTTTTTTATTATCCAGTATGTGAAAATCCTTGCTCATTCTTGTTATTTAGACAACTTTTTTTTTTTTTTTTTTTTAAATTATTGTTATGTTCTAAAACCAGAGCAGTTTAAATATACTTTGATTAAAAATGCAGCTTAAATTTGTAAATGTAATTTACAGTAATCTAAATTAATATTGATTAAATGTAATTTTTATCAAAACAACAATCTCTATGTATTTAATTTTAAATTCATAGTGGGAAATTAAATTTTTTAATTTTAATGTCCACAATTTTTTAAATGTTACTTTCATACTGATTGTCATTGACATCATTTTGTAGATCTTATATGGTAAGTTTATAAATGCATATTTTCAAAATGCAGAATTTCTCAGCGTGCAATTAACTCTTGTAAAAATTTTAAAAAGTGTATATCATATCTTAAAGTTGAAGTATCTTAGTGATTATATTTGAATAGATTTATGACTCAAAAGCTTTAAAGTTATTTGCAAACTAATTATGTAGAGTAATTTCATTATCCTAAAAAGTTTAATATTTTGAGTAATGTGAATTACAAAAATTTTACATAGTTTTATATATTTTTATTCTTATTTAAAAATATTATTCAGTGCTGATGTGTTGCATTTTTAAACATTATCAAGAAGAGTAGCTAAAAAAAAAGTATGTTTTAGGTTTAAAAGTGCTGTAACTTGTGTGTGAGTAATTTAAAGAATGAATAATTTTTATATGTATTTGTTATTAATTTATTAATTTTATTGATTGAAGAGCTTGCGATTTGTAAAATTAATGATCATGCCTAAGTAGATTTATAGGAAAAAATAACTGAAATTTTAATTATCACCCAATTGGTTTTGTTTCTATTTTGTTTAACCTGCATATTGGTACTTGTTATATACATATAAAATTTATGCTTTTATTGTATTATCTGTGGCAGATGTAAATCAAACTTTATTAAGTGATTTATTTTATGTGTATTTATTAAATTATGTATTACTTGAAAATTGAAATATTTAAAAAACATTTTTAATATTTTTCTAATATTATGTCATAAAACTATTTATTTACTTAAAAATTATTTAAGTTAAAAGCATTTTAGTTCCTATATTTTAGCAGGAGTTTTACAATTACTGTTAGCTGAACATACCTTTTTTTTCTGTTGTATTTAAGTTTTTATTTAATATATCTCTATCTAAACTTAAAAGTATTTACCTTTAGACAAGAACTTTTTGGTAGCCAGTAATAGTGAATGGTATAAAAAAGACAGAAATATCTTAAGTAGTAAATTTATTTCTAAGCTATTTTGTTATTATGTTTATTTAGAAATGAGTAGAAAAATATTTTTTAAATAATCTTTAAGTTCTATTTTCAAAATATTTTTAATAATGAATAGAAACCTTATGTATAATTATTTTGATACTTTCCTTTGCAGAGTACTTTACATCAAAAAATACCTTATATGTCTTGCCTGACATGATGAATCCTCTAGAAAAAGATATGTCGAGAAGACCTCTTTGCCCTGTGTGCAGAAAATATTTTTATGATGTCACTACACTTCGTCGACATATGGAAATCCATGATTCACAGAGACAAAAATATGTGTGCAAATTTTGTTTTAAAGCATTTTGTTGGAAAAACCATCTGCAATCTCACGTACGCAAAGTACACAATCCCAAATAGTTTTAAAAGTTGAGGTTTTTATTATGTCTTAGAACACGTATCTTTACTAAATATGGCTATATTTTGACTAGCTTTTATCTGCACTATTTTTGAGAATTTTAATATCCTAAAATAATATATTTCTGAAGGCATTTTTGAAATCTCGACTTGTATGATTTTTATGAAAATATCAAGTTTTGTCATTTTAATTGTAACAATATATATATATATATATATTATATATATATATATAGTTGTAATCTTATTATTTTTTTTTTGATTGTTCCTTGACTGATAATTATCCTTTATGAGAAAAAAGTATTTGATGTATTCTTTGTTTTTTTAAACTTAATATTTCTCATTATTTTTGTTGAGCACATCATTTTCTTCTTCTTGGTTTCATTTTATGCTTGCTATTGTCTGTTGCCATATCCTGTTTTCAGTACAAAGTTATTAGTTTAGTTTGCCTAGTCAATAGTTTTTAATTTCATTTCATTTTTATTCTATGTGGCTAATAACATTTAATTGAAAAATGAATGAATACTGAATTTAATTTTTAATTTTTTTCTTTTAACTATATATAATCATTTAGAAATTCCCATTTATGAAATTATTTTACTTAAATACAAAGCAAAAACTTTAAAAAGACCATGAATTAAATAGTGCATTAATCGTAAAAGCGAAATTTCTGAATTTCTCTTATTTCAGAAAGGTTTGTTTTTCATATTTCAAATAATAGTAATAATGATAAAGATGAATGCTAAGTATATTACCTTCCTTTATTAAAAACTAAATCATTTAGGCTTCATCTAAAATAATACATCACCTTAGATTGTTTTCAAGGCTTCATATATAGTTTTTTTGTTGTTTTTATAAGCATTTAATTATTTTTAATACATTTTGGAAATATATTTGTAACCATGTTTATAACTTTTGATAAATATTAGAATTCATTGTGTAAAATTTTATTGATATTAAAATTTTTATTTTCTATCAACTATGAGATTTTGTGATCTAGTTACATTTTACACTGGAACAGTATGCCAAACTCCTTTTTGGCTACTATGCAATATATGTATGCAATATTAATGTGTATATATTTTGTAATTTTATATGTTTTTGACTATGTATTTATACCATTAATATATGTCTTAGATTATATAGAATGGGACTTAGTATTTGTAATACTGAATGAGTTTTCATTTCCTCCAACAAAGTGCTGTTTACCTCATAGTTATTATTTTATGATGAATTCAGATTCATATTTGAAGTTTTATTAATTATTGTGCTATACATTGTAACTGAACAAGAATCAGTCGTAAAAAAAAAATGTATTGATATTGAGAAATAAGGTGGTAGACACTTTCTTTTACCCATTTTAAGGTATAGATGGGTATTCTTCAAATAAATATATATAGTGAGCATACTTAAGAAACAATCGGAAGTATCTATATCAGACTGATTAACTTCTTCCTGTTGATTTGAAATTTATTACTATTATAGTTTATGCTTTAGGTTGTATGTGATTAATTTTTAAATATGCATAGAAGGGGATTTTAGTTATTTTTCTTTTCTAAAATCTTATATTTTAAACTATGTAAAAAGCATTTTATTTTCTAAGTATTAATATCATATCATATCTATCAAGGCTGTGTAAATTAAGAAAATATGCAATTATAATTTTATCAGTAAAACGTTTATACATTTATCATTATGGTATATGACTTAATCTATACATGCATTTAATGCTATAACCTATTTGCAGCAAAATATTCATTATTTATGTATACTGAGATGCAATCTTATTAAAGAGTATTAGTTAAATTGACTAAAGTTTTGGTAACGTTTTCCTTTGGGGGAGGAGGGCATTTATTTGCCACAGTAGGATTCTAAAATATAAAAGGAGGATCTTTATTCATTTTTACTGTTTTTAACCTTTATGTTAAACAAACAGATCATGGGAACTTTTAAATGTTATATTTTTATCTCTGAATGTTTTGGCTGTTTGAGGAGCTGTTAAATTTTGAAGTAGCTGTTTGGTATTTTTATAATATTTAAATTGGGTATCATATTCTTTATGCCTAAATTGCCAGTAATATATGTCTGTATGTGTCTCATATTTTAATATATTTCAATAATTTTCTTGCAATAAAATTTTCGGAAGTTAAAGATTCACAGTTTAACAAGTATCTAATGTAGCTTTTATGCTTAACTGCCACTATTTTATTGCTGTTGATCATGCTGTACTGAGTAGATTTAAAAAATAAGGAAGAGAAAAGAAATATAAACATTATTTTAGTTCTTGTACATTTGGAAATAATATTTCAAAACTTATGTAGTTGGAATTGGAATTATATATTGCTAATTTAAAAATTAATACTTTGTAACTCTGGTATTTTTGTGTTTCTTTAAATTGATGTAAAACGTTTTTAGATTGTCAGTCTATCAGTCTAAGTGTAATAATTTTTTTTTAATTGTATGTGTTTAAACTCCAGGCAAAGATGATTCATATTGCTAATTACTTGGTAATTTTGAATTAGTTTGTATTGAATGATTGTCTTTTATTATTTTCTTTTTTACTTAAATAATTGTATTTTATTTGTGTTTATAACTTTTTGGAGAGTTCTTCAGAAACAATATTTTTAATAGATTCTCTAAGCTATATATCTAAAATGCATTTTAGATACATCCATAATTTTATGTCATTTTTGTATAACTGGATTTTTATACTTATTGCAGTGTACATCTTAGAATGTGTATATATTTATTGCCAGATGTTAGCATATGCATTGAAATGAACTGTCAAACTTTTGATAAATGAACTATAACATAGTAATGTTGATTTAGCTACGATTTCTTTTGCATAAATTTGATATAAGTTGTCTGATTTGGAAGTTGGGAAACTTTTATTAATATCGTATTTTTAAGAATCAAGACATTATTATTGGAATTTTAAGTCAGTGTGAGATTACACATTTTTCAAAGTTCAAATGATTTTATTAATACTTGGACATAAAGAAATTATCTTCATCTTTCTTTTTAATGAATAGGATATGAAAAATTAATTTGTTTTCACAAATGCAAAGAAAATTTAAACCATGTTATAACACCAGTATTTATGATTTGCTTTATTTAATCATTACACCTAACAGCATGTCAGCATGATTTGTTTTTGGAATGGGACTTTTGGTACAATGATTAAAGAAATTTTAGTATAGCTTTTTAAACTTTCGCCCTGAAATCTGAACTTTGAGTTCTTTCCTTAGAAGTATATGCATTAAGTATAAAATCATGAAATTTATTTTGAAATTTGCAGAAGGCAAATAGTTGTTAAACTCAGTTTTATGTGGAAACAAAGTATAGTTTGGCTTCTGTTTGTGTGTGAGTCAATTTTTTTCATATTTATAATAATTCCAATCAATCGAGTTATGAATGGAAAATTTTAAGAGCATTTTAATTTTTAAAATGAATTGTCATCTGCTCTTAAAAATTACTCACAGAGGGAATCTTCAATTTGTGTTAGTTGTTTGGTCTTTCTTCCAAAAATCTTTGATTCTATTTCTTTCCTTTTTGATATAGTTTTATTGTTTGACAACATCCAAAGCATGTTTTCTGATGTTCATCCTACTTCAGTACCTAATAATTAAAATATAACTGCTGAGCAATAACAAAATCAGTTACAGCTGACATCTTAAGAAATCCTTTCATCTGCATCAGTCAGCAGAATGCTTAAAGAACAAAATTCATGGAGCAGAGGTTCTCTCATTTGCAGTATTCTCTAACAACCTATTATATATAAGGATTATTAACAGTATTCTTACGTAATAAAAATCTTTAAAGAAGTATAGATGATATGTTTTAAGATAGAAGAACATTAGCTTGGATCTGTTATTTGTTTTAGCTTAATATAGATAATTATATTTTCCTTCATTGTTTTCAGCAAGTCTGGATGTGTTGTTATGAGGCAATAGCACAGTCACTGGAATGATTCATGATTAAAAATCAATTGTGCTAGTCTCCTGAACGGAGTAAATGTATACTAATATCTTCTGAAAATTATCTTTCATTTAAACATTTACAGTCAAATCATTTATTTATTTTTGTTATCAGATATGCTTACTGTGTTTTTTTTCCAGTTTTTAAGGATTATACATTTTCTCAAATGCCACTGAAAAAATGTATAATCCTTAGTTGTTTCTTAACTCTAGATTGCTAACAAAGAGGAAAACATTATGTTGTTATGCATCATACATATTTCAATGCAACACATTTATTCGAATACTTTACATATCAGGACATAGAACATTTGCTTTTTTTTGGAGGGGGGACTTGCCAATGTTGTGTAATGATGTTAGGAATAATTATTTGCACATGCATTAAAAAATATTGCATTATTTGGGAGGGGTGAAAGTCACACAGTGTCATCAATTGAGCTTGGAGATTTTACAGAGGTTTAGTGATCTAGGGTTTGAACATATCTTCTGAGAAATTCAGATGTCAAGATTTCTGTGCTTAAACAGAAGTTTTAAACATTGTTCATCGTATAAATTCATTTCTTTTTCTGGTATTAAATCTCTGTGATCAGAAAATTCATAAATTATATGTTGATATATGCTTGTATACTTTGTAATATTCAAATAACAAATTCAGCAAAGTCATCCTCAAATATATTCCCATGCCTACGATTGCCTGATGAGAGCCAAATAGCTTGAAATCCAGTTTTTTTGTAGCTGTATTGATTTTTTTTAATGTTTTTACCATGCTTCCTATAACTCTGTTAAAATACATTTTGTTTTTATGATGATGTGTATCAGTTTCCTGTGAAAATTTGTTTGTATATTTTGTGTTGACTGCTTTTATAATGGGGCATTAAACAGCTTGTTACATTAAATGTGCAATAAAAAATTAAATAAAGGAAAACTGGATAGCAATATGGTTGGGAATATATTTGAAAAAATGTTATATTCTACAAGTATTTGGCATTTTTGAGGAGTTTAAATTATTACAAAGGTTTTTTTTTAACTTGATATTAACTGTTTTGTTTATATTTTTTATTATTATATCTGTATTTTAATAAATAAAATGCTTTCTGTGAATGCACTTATTTTTTGCTTATGAATTTTTCTAATTATGAATTATATGTATTTATTTGTGTAGTTGGAAATTTTATTATATGTTGCATGTAACTGCAGGTATACTGAACATGAAGAGTTATTAAAATGCAAATTTATTCATTTAATATTTGTAAGCTATAATTTGAGAATTAATTTTAAAGTTCAACTATAATATATGTTTTTATGAAGCATCAGCATAATTTACTAAATTCTTACCAAATTTATAACGAAGTTTCTAATAAATGGATTTGTGGTATTTAACTGAATTTCTCAATTAGTTTGTTAAATCGCATTGTGGAATTGATTTAATTTTGTATGCACCAAGGAAAATATTTTGGATTGCAGAAAGTGGTATTAAAGTGTGATTTTTAAATTTTAATGCTTATTTTTCAGGATGCCTTATATCACAGTCATCTGCTCAGTTTTTAGTAATGCAGCCATTTTTATCGTATCTGTAAGAAAGTTTATCACGGTAATGGCATTTGCACATTAGAATTTACGTGAACTGTATCCTTGGACCGCAAATGGTTTGACATTTAATAAATAAATAAATAAATAAATCTATTGCAAAACTTGAAAAGAAAAGTTCTAAGGTTGAATTGTGTTTATCTTATCCGCCTGCTCAGTCAAGTGTATGATTGTTCAGTTAGTTTTCTTTTAATTCTTTTTCAGTGAGCTTCTCATAAATTTAATCTGTTTTTTAAAATTCCTTTGAGTTAGTTTTATATTATTTTTAATAACACTCATACGTATAAAATCACTAAAAGAAGTAACTAGTGTGTAAAGTCTAAGAAAGGTCATAATTTCTATGATAGAAATGAAAAAGAAGCTTAATATTAATTTAAAATTGTCACACATATATCATACCTGACTGCTGAGCATTGTATGACAATGTAGACCCTATTAAATGTAATGCATAACACAAAAGCCATTAAAGAAACTAATGTTGTGAAAAGGAGTAAAAAGCCTTTTGAATAGAAGATTGCCAGAAGTGATGAAAATGGAAAATCATTTAATTGTTTAGTAGCCCCCCCCCCAAAAAAAAAATCTGGTGGTAATGTGAAGGAAGCCATTATTTGCCAGAAGGTGAGACATCTGTACAATGGCATTACAAGAAATGTCCCTGGTGCTCAAGAAAGCAAGAGTCAGTTTAAAAGAGCACAGGAAGGCCACCTGTGCAGATAAAGTTGCAACCAAAACTTCTGTAATGCAATTGAAAAACTGTGTGGAAAAAGATGATTTATTTCTGGTAAAGTATTCAACTGAAGCAAGACATCTTTTCTGAAAGGAAATACTAAAGAGAACCTACATGATGAATGAAAAGAATTCCTTCCTAAGACACAAGTCTTCAAAAGACATGCTAACTCTTTTATGTGGTAACAATAGTAGACTCTTTGACATAAAATTGATGCTAGCATACTTATTAAAAAAACTTATAAAAACTTAATTGTGCACACAAAAGCAGTTTTAATGTAATGTGGAGTTCAGATCTTAAATTTTGGTTAACTAGGGAATTTGTTTAGTAACGGTTTTATCTGTAATGTGAAAAAATAACTGGAGAAGAAAAGAAAATCTCAAGGCTCTTTTTGCTTTTGGAAAGGCATCTGCATATCCTCCACAACTGGAGGATTTTAGTGTTAAATACAGTTTCAATTAGTGAAACTCTAGCCCCTTCTAATGCCATTCCTTTGTTCTTATTTATGAATAAAAAAAAAGTCATCTCTAATATCAAGAATGTATACAGAAAAGCAGGTGTACACACTTTTCTTAAAGTGTTTGGGATCATTGGGAAGATGCAATTAACTTTCAGGTATTATTGGAAAGATCATTTGAATATTATCTGTGCTGCTTCAGAATAATAATTTATTTATTCTTCAGAGTAATTAATAATTGCTTAATAATTTATTACACTGCTTCAGAATTTAAATAAAATCTTGGGTTAGAACCGTAGCTCCAAATCAAATTTTTTCAAATGAAATGAGAGTTATTTGCATTGTAACGAAGAGAATGAACCATAGCCCTTAGCTAGTACATTCCAAATAGAATGAGGGTTATTTGCCTTACAGTAAACAATATCTCTCCATTGTGTTACTGATTGATTTTATATGATATTTTATCTATTTAGTATAATAAATTCAGTTGAGTATTCAGTTATTAAAATCAAACATGCATTTTAACTGTTACTTTCCAGTTTATTCTTTTAAAACTGACACTTACTTTGTTTTATTTATGGCAAATGCTGAAAGTATGCAGTAAATTAATTCAATTTTTATGATCTTTTATGGGAAAATTTAACTTCAAAGTCAAACAATTTGTAAGCTACCTATTTCTTTTAATAGATTGTGTTCGGAGGTCAAATAAATTTTAATTGTCGTCTTCAGGAAAGCTTAGTAGTGGAGTGCTTTAAAATTTTTGACATAAGTGTTTTTTTTTATGTTAAATATGTTATAAGCATAATTATATTTCATTTCACCATAAGCTAACAGTCTTTTATATATAACTGTATATGTGATATGTGTTTAATATCAAATGTTTCTGAACATAATGAAAAGCTAATAATTTTATAACATGAAATGCTATAAACTTTATGATGAAATAGGTAATGCAATTTTTTTACTGTTAATTTCTTTTGAAAATCAAATTATTCATAAGATGTTTGGTATGTCATTTTATAAATGTTATTATTTAATTCATATTACTTAATATCTCTGCATTTTTTTAATTGTATGTTGTAAGAATTTTTGTATATAAATATATTTTCTTTATGCCTTTTTTATATTAATTGAGTATTATTTGAAATGTATGATGTTCTTAGAGTTGAAAGCCTTATCGTCACCATCATCATTGTCTCCAGAATAGTAAGAATAGCTGCTAAAAAATTTTTAGGTTATGATAAAGGAGGCAGGAGGAACATATTTTAGCAGATTTCAGAAAAATGTACCATTTATTATACAAACTGTTTATGTTTAGTTTTTTGTGTCAATAAATGGTAACCTTTCCTTGATCTGCATATAACTGAAATCATCTTTTACAATACTTCAGTACTAACTGCATACATTAATTTCATATGCTGCGTATGTGAATTTACTATACATATTAATTTCGTTTGATCTATGTGAAAGATAGAAACTCTCTGCTGAAATTTATAACAGGAAATGTCCTGGAGTTGTTAGAAAAATCTAAGGTATAATGGATATTTGCTGCTAGAAATGTGAGGTATTTTATGGAAAGGAAGTGTGTGAACCTAATAGTATTTGCATATTAATAAAAGTTATCCCAAATCAATTAAAATAAGAAGAAATATTTAGTTTTTACTTTTTGAAAAATCGTGTACTTGTCATTATATAATTCATTCATTGAATAATTTCCTTTCATTGGAAAATTGCTGAAATAAGTATTGCAATGAATTTTGAGTTTTATTACTGATTTCTGTACTTTACCTCCCCCCAACTGCAGCAGTTATAGAAGTGAAATAATATTACTAAATGAGTGTTTTGAACTGCTGAAATATTACAGTTTATTGAATCTAATAGTTACATCAGCTTCTTTGAGAATAATGGAAAAGTCGGGATGTTAGTATCAATTTAAAACAAGATCCTTCCAAAATTTTTATTGAATTTTTATCTTGAATTATTAAAATTTATTTTTAAGCACTAAATTCTTTGTCATGCTATGGTAAATTGTGGCCTTCTATGTCATAAAGCAACTGATTATTATTATCTTTTGATTTTTAGAAAACAAAGTTAATTTCAAATAAAATGGCCAGCCTGGATTGTGCAAAATAGTTCCAGATTTTAGTGCAGTATGCTGTTTCAGGATATATCCTCGATCCTGCAAATATTAATGAATTTTGAAATTAGTAGACATCAGTTTTGTTAATGACTTTCCAATGTCACGAAATTTATTTTGTTGGATTGGAAGAGAAATCCATTTGATAATCAAATAGGAAGCTCACATATAAAGCACACAAAATGAAAATGAAATAGCTTTGAAGGAATTTTTAAGTTGCGACTGCAACCACATTTCCTTCTTGAAAAAAATTAACAATGGAATGAAATCACCTACAAAACTTTAAAAGGATTCATTTTGGAAACATATGGCCTAACCTTCTGAGAGAAAATATTTTGTGGAAGATTTATCTGATAACTAAATATCGAATGAAAAGCTGTACTTAGAAAGACATGCAAGTGTTAACAAAACAATGTTCCATGTGTAGAAAAAATGGACTGATTTTTTTTTTTTTTTTTCATTTTCAGAATCATCATACTTCTTTCAAATCTGTAATATTAATAATTTATTTCTGCTTTATCTTTATTTACTAATAATTTATCTCTAATATTAATAATTTGTATACAAGTATTGAAAGCAAATCTAGAACCACAACATGCATTTTATTAATAAATCTCTATACATAACTGGTAAATCCAAATAAAAGGCGATGCTTTGAAATCTACATGCATAAGCATGAAATATAATATTGCTCAACTGTATTAAGAATGCAACTAATTAATAAGAAATTCTTGAAGAAAATCTGAAAGTGATAAACATAGGGTAAAATGTTTTAGACTGCAATGGTTTTTGAATGCTTGATTATTTTTGCATTATAAAATTTTGCCGGATTCAGAATTTTTATATGAATTGCTTAATGTATTGTTATCAAGTCACTGAAATTTTTTAAGATACTTGGTCATCTTAAGTCATAAATATAGTGGTATGTTGTATAAACTTTTTTTATCTGTTGACTATATGTACTAATCTAGAAATGTAATAACTTTTTAAAAGGCTAACTGCAGTATATACTGTAAT